ATATATATATATATATACTGTATCCCATAATGTTATGCGCTCGACTCGATCTTCCATTTCTAGTGTGATGATTGACTCGTAAGTAATATCTATCATTTTTAACATTGTTTGGATTACCAAACAGGTATTTTAACAAAAAATGTATTCATTTGCAAATTAACCGTTTGATTTCCAAGGTGATGCTACTATGAATTAAAAATGTAACGTGTGTACATTTTCTGATAGTATTTTTGTAATGTAGTAGGCATGCACTATATAGTGAACAGCATGCTGGAATCTGTTCTGAACGTGACCACGCTGATGAAGCGTCCAAAGCGGTTTCTTGAGGAGTAGTTTAAGAAGGGAGATTCACTATGACGTTATTGAGGTTCTTCTAAATGTCGAGTCCCAAACTCACAAGCACAGTAATGTCAGTTTTGTCAGTTTCTGTGCCACCGTAGTCTGTGGTCATTCCAACACTAACCTTAAGTTATTAACACGGTTACGGATAAGAGCAGGGGATTATGGGTAATTGAAATGAGATCTCACACAGAAAGTGTGGAGTCATGCTGTCATGGCAGTCTGACGTTTTTTCTTCCGTGTTTTCTGAGAAATGTTTGTGGTCAAACGGAGCAACCAAAACCACTAAGTGCTTTAATGACCCAGCCGTCAACCGTTGTGATGCAGTGTTTCTACTTGTTTGTTTATTTAATAAATGTATTTATTTTTAACTTTAAATGAATTCCATGTATTTATTTAAATTTAGATTATGTATATCTCTCCCTCTTTTGTGCTTTCATTCACTACAGGTGTTTCTGCAAATCATTGGAGTCATTGCTGTGGCGTCTTCTGTCATCCCTTGGATTCTGATTCCTGTTCTTCCTCTGTTGATCAGCTTCCTGTTTCTACGCCGCTACTTCCTGCGGACATCACGAGACGTCAAGCGGATTGAATCCACTTGTGAGTGTCTTCAGTTTTCTCCTGTCAAATCTGAGAGTAATATTAATGTTTCTTTAGAGCATCTTTGCTGTGTGTCCTGTATGTTTAGTGAGTCTGGTCTTGATGGCTGTGTGTATTTTGCGCTCTTCCAGCTCGAAGTCCTGTATTCTCCCATCTGTCATCCTCACTGCAAGGCCTCTGCACCATTCGTGCCTTTAAAGCTGAGGAAAGGTTTCAGCAAACGTTTGATGCTCATCAAGATCTGCACTCGGGTCGGTAAAGGAATGGGCCACTTACAGGATTAGTTGTTGACTTTAATAATGTGTTCTTTAAAATGTCATGTGTACTCCGGCAGAGGCCTGGTTCCTGTTCTTGACCACTTCACGCTGGTTTGCAGTGCGTTTGGATGGAATGTGTTCGGTGTTTGTGACCATCACAGCCTTTGGATGTCTTCTTCTTAAAGACAGTGAGATATCCATAGCATGCACACTACTTACCAGAACACAGTTCTTAAGGAGTTTTTACAGTGATAGTGCACTGAATGCTGAGTACTGGGACAACTCAGGCTGCACTTGGAGGAGAAATATTATGCATGCATTCTATACATTTCAGAAATATCTGTGAAAATTAACCACTATCATTGAAAAATACATATTAATATGTTATGAATACATTCTTATATATATATATATATATATATATATATATATATAT